CAAAACATTTTCCTGAAGGCTAGGCATTGTTGCAAATCCTTCCCTTGGAAATCTTTGTCAGAAAAAGGCTCATGCTTGCCATTTCCTGGACATTCCTATAGAATTATTTGTCTATGATTTAAAAAATGGCTCCAGAAAATAATAGCAGGCTTAGTTATGTGTTCCCCAAACTTTACATAATTGTACTTCACCCTCAGGTCTATAGTATATCTACCACACAAAAAAATCTTTCATTGAGATGTCATGTCACATGTATAGTGTTAATGTTACTATGGTAACCAAAAATGCCACCAGTGTGTCTGTTTCATATACAAATGAGGGGACAGCTGTGGAGTCCACATGTCTGCCAGGGGTATAATAGATGTGAGTGAGGACAGCCTGGGTCAGAAAATTACAATTCATTTACATTAATCAGAGCTTTCAAATAACTTCCAACCCCTGGGCTATAAAGAGTATAAATGGAAGGCAATAAGCCACCATAAAAGCAGTTTTCACTCCACAGCTTTCAAAATGAGGTATATCAAGCTAATGTACTGGCATCATTAAAGGGTACTCTGAAGTCAGGGTGCACGGGACCTTCGATGTGTATCAGTGCATACTTAAGCCTATCTTACAGCATTTCAGTGGTGATTTGCAGTGCTTCAGGTGGAATATTTCCATCCAAGTATGGTGTTTATGTTGTGTATTGGAGGTATAGCTTCTGTAAACCTTTTTGCAATCTGACTGTGATAGTCCTTCCAAGCCTGCTGTCCCAACTCTGCCATGGAACAACTGAGAGACCAGAAAGTTAGCAGATTAAGAAAGTGATTGGAAACTGTCTACGCATGACTGGGTGAGAGCTTGCTTAAGCAAATAACTGGTAAAATGGCTAATAACATCCCACCTCTGTTCCAACTTTTAAAAACATTAAGAAAGTTAAAAATATAACATGAAATCATTCATAGTGTTTCATTTAAAGGTTTTTTTTTTTTTTTTTTTTGGCGGAATCAGGGATTGAACTCAGGCCCTTCCACTTGCCAGGGAAGCGCTTATTCCACTGAGCCATCTCCCCAGCCCCTCATTCAAAATATAAAATGGTATAAATTTTACTTGTTAAGTAATGTGTTTAAGAGTTCTACAGCATGGCAAGGTCCAGAAATAATCATTTACTGGATTGCAATGCCCTGTAAATAGACCACTTATTATACATTATGTTTTGAGACGTAGAAGCTGTACTCTATAAAATGTCCATTAAGAAGGTGAATAATAATGTGCTTAAACTAGAAAACTTTAAAAACAAACCTCATGTAGAACAGCCTTAGAAGAAATGGTATCCTTGGTCACTAAAAATATTGTGTTTTATATCTAAAGTTTAACTTTTATCTCTCTTTATTTTGAGCCCAAATAAGAGTACATGTTTTTCTGACTTTATCCACATAATTATTTCATCTTAAATGCAGTATTAATCAAAGCTCTATTCATGAGTTAAAGATAATTCCATTGTTCCCAGAAGAGAAAATGATTCCAAAACAGTATTTTCTTTATCTCCAGAGTGGCTTAACCCAAAATAGATGTTTAGAATAATTTTAAAAAATGAAATACAATGTTTGAGCAACCTTATAGTAGTGTTCAAATGAATCATTCTGATAACTATTATTTTGCAGCTTAAATATAAATTTTAAAAGAACATTGTGAAAGTCTAGTGAAAAATGGCATCCATATCCTGTAAGTTATCATATTTTGTTTATGGCTTATTTAAGGTGCACAAAATGCATACAGTTCTGATAATTTCTAATTGTTTACAAATAATTTGTAATAGTCAAATTGGATTGTGTAGTCACAATATAACTTTGAATAGGTGGATCTTAAAAATACATGATATATTCTCTTGAGTGTCATGGTGCCCAGAGTAAAGTATATATAACAGTGGTTCTAAGAGTGTAGGTCAAGAATCTAGGGTTGGCAAGGTATCACTAGAGGCAGATCAATGGTTGGGTTTTTGATTGCTCTTCTAAAGAATTTCAGGCAATAACCCAAACTACCTATGATTAGTTTTCATAACCACATCGTACAGTTAGATCTAATCTGATTCCTTTTTCTCTTTTTTAGAGAATAGAGTGATCCTTCATAGTAGCAAGTACCTTATTACTTTTATTTACCTAAGAATGACCTCACTAATCTTTCATTAGAGTTGCAGAATAAAGATCTTGCACTGGTAGTAAGTGCCCAAAGACAAAATTTCAAAATTCGGCCATGGTATGTTGTTTGTTTCAAATATATAGTACCTACATAATTCTTAAACAAAATGGAATATAGTTTTAGTTTACAAATGTCGTTTCTATTTTACAGTTATGCTTCCACTCCATCAGGAGGTTGCAATGCCAGGTTTAAAGGACACAGATGAGTTTATCACAATGATTTGTTCCTTTCTGACTTTTGTATAATTCTAAAGCAAAAATGCACACTTGGCTGTAATATTTTCCTACTGAAACTATATTTAACTCACTTTTCCCCTTCTGTAAAATACTGTCTTATATATAAAAAAGAAAACTGAGCCAAGAAAACAAACTTTAGGAAACATGTAAAATAATAAACCAACAGCTGTTGTAGATCCTCCCCCAAAACACAGCCCTCCAAAACAATGTTGTCTTTTTTTTTTTTTTTGGTTGTATTTTAATGCCCTTTCAGTGAATATATAGAATGGGGGCAAACGCTGTTCCCGTGAATAGGGTTCTTTTCCTTTCAACAGTGTTTGAGACTGACAAAAGAAGAGGCCCTGGTGCTGGTTTGGCAGGAGGTATAATCACCAGCCTCACGTGTGGCCCACACTGCCCGCCCTTTGTTTAGCAGCCACGCATTGCCAGGAGGTGAACAGTACAGTGTGGTTGATCAACTAACCTTAAACAAAGCAGAAAGGTCCTTGCTCTGGGGGTCTGTTGCTCGACTGCTTTCCTATTCATTGTTCTATTCTATAACCTGACATCCAGCCACGTCTGTGACTAGGAAGTGGATGGTTTCATTGACAGCAGTTCTACAAAGTTTGGTGCTGTAAGAGCTCAAATGATTTTCACTCGACAGTGAACATTCTCTTGAGATCTTCATTTTGGTCAGTGGGAGCTATCTTCCTCTTTATTAGTTATCTCTAAGTTAGGGAACAAATATGAATAAGAGAGAATTCTTCAAAGGAAAAGAAACTTCAAAAGTTGAAGACTCTTTTCAAAAATCACTTCAGTTCCCCAGAAGTGGACTAACGTTATAGGCTACTTCCACAAATACTTTCCTTTCTAGCTCCATATCCAGCTTGAATGTTGCACAAATAAATACATACAGCCAGGTAAAAAGTGAGTGCACTCTGGGCTTTCAATATAGCACATGCAAAGAATTTGGCTTTTGAATATTGGTGCCAGCAAGCCATGGAATTCTTGAACAGAAAAACTCACACTTGCGCCTTTATTCCATTTTCTTAAGGTCTATTGTTAACTGAAGACTCCTTGTCTTTTCAAATTCCTTCATGTGAATGGATGAGGCCAGACATCTGCCAGGATCTGCTCACATTTGCATGCAAATCAGAGACTTGGGGACACAAATGGCCCTGAAGCCAATAATGCCACTTTTAGGTTTATAATGATAGAAGTACAAATCTTCCTAAACTTATCCTTCTAGGCCTAGTTTTTAAAGATAAAGTAATTATTATATTTGAATAATATTAATTATCTAGACTACTGTGACTAAACAAATTGCAAATAATAAATAAAAATAAAAAGACATACCGCCTTGCAGAAAATCCTACTTGGAAGATCCCAAGTCAGTAGTACTTGCTCCCTCACTGACTTCCAATTACTTCACTATCTCGGACCAGAGAATGAAAATACTAACGGTCAGAAGGAATTTATGAAGAGTTTACATTTTGGATTTTTGGCCTTTGCATGTGTCCTACAAACAACTTAAAAACATTTGGAGGGTCATTCATTCATTCAGTCACTCACTGTGGCGCTGTTCTGGGCACTGGCACCCCAGCGGCAGGTAAATACGGCAGCAAGGACCCCACCTTCTGGGGGAGGTATCACCCTGGGTCTTCCAGTCGCAGTTTCTACGCCTGCTCTCCGGGAGCAGTCCCGGGAAGGACTCCTGTCAGTCTAGGGTGTGCGGTACCCCTGGACGGTAGGGTGGGACTCCCTCCGCAGTAGGCGGTGGCCCTGTGAACCAAGGGAGTGTAGAACGAGGTGGAGCCTGTCCACACCCGTCCCCACTCAGCACAAAGGACACTCGCTGGCAAACTTTCCTTGGTCCTGACCCCGGCTGAGCAAGGAACTACATGAAGGCTCTGTGGCTGGAGGGGCTTCCCTGGCATTTCAGCCTCCCTGGGAAGCCTCCTGGGGCTTCTGGACTTAAAACGTAGGGATTGAGGTTCCCCCATGCACACGCCCGCAGACCACAAGAGAATTCCGTAGGTTCTTCCTAATTTCCTGAGTTCAACACACAGAATTCTTTGTGAATTACGTCCCTTGCCCCTTTCTCCTTCCAAAAGGCCACGGCCAAGACCTCTATTCAGCCCCCTCACCCCCCACTGCCACCTTCCTGCAACGGGTCTCTGTCTGCCCCCTTTCCAACTCCTTGGGTTCTTTTCCCACGCTCTACCTCATCCCTAGCTGTCTTCCTCGGTTCCCATTCCTAATGCCATCTCTCCCCCTTCCCATCCCCCGGTTCTGTCCCTGAAATCCAGCGGTTTAGCCTTCTATTCCTGCTTTTGCGTATTTTTGTCTGGGTTTCTTTCCAACGATCGTTCTCCCCGACCCTTCTTTCCTGTAGAAGGAGAGGAGAATAACTACATTCTCGCCTCCCGACTTTGTCATTTTCTTCAGCTCCAAGAGCCGCACCCCCTGGTCCCCTTGGGCCCCGCGATCTTATTCCGTGGTCCTCCAAACCCTCTTGGGTTCACCACACCGGCAAGTTTGCCTTTACTTCCCCTTGGCTGCTGCCCACAGCTCCCACCACGGGCGGCCGCTGGCCCGCGCACTTACCCCAAGGCCGGGCTGGTGGGGATGTTGGGTGAGCGCAGACCGGGCGCCAGCCGCGGCGGCAGCAGCAGGAGGAGCAGGAGGACAGGCTAAGTGGCGCCTCCCTCTCAGCCCGCAGTCAGCACTGAACACTGGGTCCTTGGGGGATGCAAGGCAGAACACCAAGATCGGAGGCGAGGCGGCAACACCAGCAACAGCTGCTGCGCGGTACTGGTCTAAATTCGGCTTTTGTGGGCCAGGGTAAAGGCAGGCAAAATTGGAAAGGAAGGCAAGGGAACTGAGGTGCCGAGGGCGGGGCAGCGAGAGGTCAGGTTCCCAGGAAGGCACCCAGGCACCTAGAGATGCAGCCGCCAACGTGGGCCGGTCCTCTTCCCCACCCCGCGGGCGCTGCAGCCTCGGGCGCACGGGCGCTCGGGCGCACGGGCCTCCCCTCGTCCTCTGGCTCACAGCAGCACACTCAGTGCGCCCCGCTTTGTGCTCCCGCAGCCGGCGTGCACCTGGTGTAAGCAAAAGCGGTCAGCTGATGGGCTGAGCGCTGATTGGCTGCTCCACTGCACCCTCCCCTCTGGGCCGAACCCCTCCAGGCCTCCCGACCCGCCCGCAGCTCCGCGCGTGCTGGGCACCATCTGTAGCCCACCCAACAAAGCCGCAGCGCGGCGGCCTCCGGTGGCCTGGCTGCGCTGTGCTGCCACTGCAGGAGCAACGGGCTGCCGCTTTTGTCTAGGAGACAAGGTTAGGAAGGCAAGGTTAAAGAGGCAAGGCACTTGCCAGTTTTTTTGTTTTGTTTTGTTTTTTGTTTTTTAGCAAAAAGACCAAACACAACAATAATACAGTAGTCATAAATAAACAAATAATACTGTATATGAAGGCAAGCTAGGCGCAGTGCCGGCTACATAAATGTGTGGAATGCAGAACTCAGTTTCGAGGTTGAGGGGAAAAGAAAATTCAACGTGAGATAGCCAAGGGTGAGATCTTACCCTTCGTCTTAAAATAGATGGTGAATCCTTGGGTTGTGTGTATAATCCCAGGTAGAAGTACACCGGTGGCTGTGGAGAGGCGCCTCAGCTGTGGGAAGTAGTATCTGGATACCTAACAGGATGGCAAAGCTACGTCCTACTTAAGGAGGCTTTCAGAAAATGTTTCTGTAACTTCAAAATTACAGCTTTCTGATTTGTTAGGTGTTAAAGTTGTGCTCAAATATATGAAGTAATAGAGAATGCGATCGGTTTGTAGTGATTTTCTGAGAGCGAGGGCAGAAGGAGGGGATGGAAATAGGTTTTTGTTTTGTTTTGGTATTTTAGGGAAGAGTCTACAGGGTGTTCAGGGTCTCACTAATAAATCTGACTCGTAGTGATCTGCCTATTTATAGCCTCCCAAGAGTTGGAATTATAAGCTCCAGCAGGTCTGAGGATCAAACCCCTGATCCCTGTGCCTGCTTGAAGGTGCTTTAATCTACTGAGCTATTTGGCCAGTGGAAATAGGTCTTTTGGAAACTGAGCATGGACCTTAGTCTTAACTCTGAAGTGGTCACCTAGAGCAGTGCTCTTAAGAAGAGCCCTTTATTTGCCCTACTGGAGGAAGTAACCTTAAGGTAGAGCATTTTAGCCCCTCAGTACTGCATAATTTGGGGCTAAAGAATATGATTGCATTTCCTTGCATTATCAGACCTTTTAGAACTTTGAGGGCAATTTGAAGAACACATTATTACAAAACCAACTTTTGAATGCTTTGACACCAGGTGAGAAATGCAAAGGTAGTAACTGTATATTTTTAATTCCTTTAGCATATTTTGCTATCTTGCATAGATTTCTGATGCACTTGATACCCTTTGGTGTCTATTTCATGTTACCCTGAAGCTATCGAGTATACCAATAAGTCACTGAGTGTACCTTGGAAGGCTCATGGTGCTAGTAGGATTCAGTTCAAAAAGTAGGTAAAGAATAGAGGGATAGCTAGACAAAAAGGCCCATGCTGTATGAAAATAAGAAAGTCTAGAAACTTTCAAAGGAAGTTGAGTCCAGAGCCTTACCCCTGTTTCAACATAGGCTTTTATCTTTTCTAGCTTTTTCCTGCAGAATGCATGTAGCTTATAATTTGCAAAGAGGATGGGCCAGTGGTGGGAATATAGAACCTAAATCTTAACATTCAAGGACTTGGGGAGTCTTCTCTGTTCTGCAGCCTATCTTCCTAGGAATGGAAAAGAGATGATATTGTACCCTACGGGGTGGAGTTTTATGGTGCTAGGTCTTGGCCTGGGAGGCAGTTGAAGCAATGGATAATGTTGAGGGTATAGTAGGAGCAGATACTGTAACAGCCTCCAGGTCTTGAAAGAGACTTCATGAAAATGGTATGAGCCAGGCGCCAATGTATGAACTTTGAAACCAGGCCAACACAGCTTAAATCTCAACTCTGCAATTTATGAGCGGTGTCCCTGTGGGAAAGTCACTTTACCTCTTTAAACCTTAGTTTCCTTGGCTCAAAAGTGGGATTAATAGCTATGTATCCCAAAGGATCTTGCTGGTTAAATAAGAGTAAGGGAAATCCTTTGGGCACTGGTTAGTATATAGTAAGCATTTGTCAAATATAAGCATTAGACATTGTTAGCGAGGTTTTGAAGACTAGCACAAGATATCTGGTCAGAATGGTATAATAATGACTCTATAACTGACTCATGTGACAGAATATCTTAAAAGCACTAACAGTTCCAGTGAAGGAAATGGACTTTGTCTCCCTGCTGTTCAATTCATTTCCTTTTAAATCAGCATAGCATTTATTTAAACTAATTTTCCCCTTCCCCAAGGCAAAAATGAGAAAGGAATCTCTGCCTACTCCCCTTGATCACTACATTTATGTGTTTCTGTCAGACATGGGTAAAGGGGCTTGGACAGGAGGATGGTTATTGTTCTGTATTAGAAAAGATTACTGTGGTGGGAAGAGGACAAATGAGGTCTAACAGTGATGAGAGTGAACTGCATCCAAGGATTCCTAGAGCCTGGTCTTTCTGTTGATGTAAGGGGGAGTTCTTGCCCTAGAGTTAGCTGTGTTGAGAACTACAAACTTCACTGTATTCCCCCTCAACCCCTTGAGGTTCCTTAGCTTTGGTTTGAGGGAACGTTATGATCAGTACTCACTTAATTGTACTGGTTGGTCTATGTAGAAAATGAAAGGGGAAAAAAAGATGAAACCTTAAGGAATGATCTCATTTGAATAATCTTAAAAGAACAAAATCTTTTGAGAACAAAATTATAATATGCCATTTAAAACCATAATTTTTAAAATCTGAATATACTTCTGCTTCTAATTGAAACATAAATAAAACACTGACAGTATTCCTTCCAATCTTTTAACTAATAATTCTACCTGGTAAATGACCACCACCAAACTCTTAAAGGATAATAATTATGAAGATTATAGTGATGTGACTGTTTTGATCTCATGACAGATATGCTGTTTCATTAAAAATTTTTAACAGTGGTGTGGCTTTACTATCTATGCATAGTTCCTGCTCTTCCCGTTTTGTATAGCATATGAAATCATCCCAACATAAAATCGTTCCAACTTGAAATTAGTTTTAGCATTTAAGTCTAGTGCCTTCATAAGAACCAAAGGAGACACTGCCTCATTTTACCTGAGACATGCTATGTTTTAGTCCTAAGAGTCCCACATGTCAGGAAAGCCTTCATTCTTGGGTACATGAAACTAACATTAATAGGTTTATGATACTATTGCAATTTCAATTGAATTACAATGTTGGATACAACAAATAATATCTTATGCCTGGCCAATTAGGAGATCATATATCCATTTATAGAACCTAATTGCCTCAGAGACCTTAAAATGATCCAATACAATCTGTTTATTATATACACAGGAAACTAAGCTCTAAAAACAGAATTCTCCCACCCTGTTGAGAATGCCTGCACTGAAAAACTAGACACTATGAGTGATGGCAAGTGTTTTAGGGACAAGTACCCAAACTGCAACCCAAACCCACTTATCACCAAGCATCAACATTACAACTAAACATGAATACTGAGGTTTTCAGTTAAACACACACACACACACACACACACACACACACACACCCCTCATATATTAACATCTTTTATCTTAAAAGAAAAACAAAATGTGTGCCCTAGGTTCACTGTTATTGCTCTGTACTCTTTGGCGAGAGATCACATGGCTGTCTCCAGGCCCATCACTTGTAATTGGTACTCAGTAAAAAATTTTAATGAGCAGAGGCCAAGGTTTGATTCTAGGCATGCCATGCCAGCCCCATCCCAGGGCACTGAGACAGTAACAGACTGTGCGTGGTAGTGCGTGCCTGTAATCCCAGTACTTGGGAGGATGAACACAGGAGAATCAGTATGAGTCACATCTGTGTAGTGAGACCCTGTAGACCCTGTACTAAATACATAAAAAATTAATGATTTAGTAGAATTAATTATATAGTTGGATTACATTACATCATAAGCACTTTCTTCATATCACTTGAAAATCTTTGATAGGGTAATGCTAAATGACTTTCTAATTCCACCTATCTTCTTTTGGTGAAAAATAAGGCATTTTGAAATTCTTGTCTATAACATGCATCATAAGAACATACTTAATGGGAAATGCCAGTTTGATTATTGAACTATAAATATAAACTATAGTTTAGATTATCAAATTACTGATATTACTGAAAAAAGGCTGTGTGTTTCCTTTGATTTTGCATTATAAAGATTTGAGTTGATAAGAAAATTTCAGAATCAGGTTTCCTCATTTTCCACTATTTGCTTCCTTTGATTGCTCTATTGTCTGTATAATAATAGCAAACATAGATTAAGAACTAACTCCATGGTGCACACTAAACTGGAGAGTGTTTCTTCTGTTGAGAGGCAGTACGGTGTGATGGTTAAGAGCCAGGCCTCTTGAGGTTGGCTGTGTAGTTGGTACTCGAGCTCAGCGCAGCTGTGTGAAGTAGAGCAAGTTACCGAAGCTCTCTGTGTCTAAGTTCATCTTACAGAACTATCAAGGGTTCTGCGAAGTTTGAAGAGGTACACATGTGAGTAGCACAGAGCAAGCACTCATTAAATACTAATGTATTTGGTAATATAATGCTCACTGGTGGAACAATTAAAAGACCTTAGTGGCTTGAAGAAGGCAAGCTTATTTCGCACTTGTGTAACAGTGAGTTCCTGGCTTGATGCCTGCATTTAGTCATTCATGGCACAGATGACTTCTGCCTTTCATTTCTTAATTTTCTAAATGTAAAGACTCCTTTTCCTTCACAGAGAATGAGATGAGAGAGAAGAGAGCATCACATAGACCCGTGGGTGGGCTGAGGATGAAGTATAGCACCTCTGACTAAATCCTACTCTTAAGAACTGTTACATAGCTGCAACTAAGAGCAAGGGAAGCTAGGGAATACTCATTAGGAATATGCCTAGAAGAATACATAAACACGTTTTCA